GCTAACGCTCCTCTCTGTGCCCCCAGAGGAGCAGGGTGCCCATGCCGCTCCCTCCTTGGGCGGGGGAGGGGGGCTGGGGAGCACACCCATGGCCTGGACTCGGGCATGACCTCTGCACCCCGCCCTGCACCCCAGGAGGGTCCGAGTGGCCAAGCTCACCCCGGGAAGGCTGTAGACAGAGCCTACAGGGGAGTGGGGGCCGCACTGAGGGGCCAGGGGCCCCCCGGGGTGAGGGCGGGAGGGCCGGGGCCCACAGGGAGGAGGCTGGGCTGAGTCCCTGACGGCCATGGCCCATCCCGGGGTTCAGCAGGGTCCCCACAGGTTCCAGGCCCAGATCCTGATGCGTGGAAGGTGGCGTGAAGCCCAGATGGGGCACTGCCCATGCCCCTGTGCCCACCACCACCCACGCCGCCAGGCCCCCGCCAGCCCCCTGCATAGCTGGACCCTTCCCCGGGGACCCCCCAGCCCCCCCACAGGCCCACTCACTGGATCTCTGGTTCTTGATGAAGAACAGCTTGAGCCGCTCCTTGAAGGTGTTCTCGTTGACGTAGAACTCCACCTGGACCCTGCGGGCAGGAGCGGGCGTGGGCTCAGCCGGGGACTCAGCTGGGGCCAGCCACAGCCCCGGGCACCGGCTTCTCCCACCTGGAGGCGCCCAGAGGACAGACAGACGGATGGACAGACAGCAGCGGGGTCAACGCCTCCCCCTCGGATGGGAGGCCCCAGCAGACCTGCCTGCAGACCTTCTGAAGCCTCGGGGCTCACCTGGGTGCCCCCCAGGCTCCCGGGAGGCCACCTCTCCGGGGCCCCAGCCCCGGTGGTCACGGCCAGCCACCAGGATTCAACGTGCCCCGTGTGGCCTTGGCACAGGCTCCAAACATGTCACATCGTCTATATAGAACGTTCTAGAAGCCGACGGGCAGCTGCTTTGCTGGTGGTCCCCGGTGGCTCCAGGAATGTCGAGGAGGTGGGCCCACCTGCACCCCCGGCCAATCCCCAGACACCCTGGGCCCCTCCCAGGCTCCCAGCGACCTGGGTCAGCCCCCCCACTGCCACCCCCGCAGCCCCAGCAGGAATGAGTCAGATGTAGGGGAGGGGGGGCGGGCAAGGCCATCTGGTCTCCTTGACAACGTGAGTCCTGCAGGCGACGAGACACTGCCCGGCCCTGCTGGCCAGGTGAGGGCTTGACCCTCCACACGAGTGACAGACAGCAGGCGGGATGGCCGGAGCGGGCCCTGGAGCCGGGGGCGGGCAGCACGGAGGCCTCAGAGCTTCCCTCCAGGATGTGGGGAGCACACGCCCCCGAGAGGCCGACACCCGGGGTGCTGGGTGGGCACCTTGCTCTGTGCTGGCACTGGCCGCCCCCCCGTGTGACTCTTGCACCCTCTGTCACAGGCTGTCGCCACCATTGGCAGGACGAGCCCAGGAACCCACAGGCCCCCC